GCTAATTATTTTGATATGTTTGTTTCCATATTAGCGTGGGTATAAATTTGGGTTAGGTAGTTCTGCAATCAACCAATTATTTATTTTTATTTATACTATTTTGGTGATACCAGTTTCAGGGTTCATCCCCTTCCTCAGCCACCTCGTCAGTAAACTTATAACACTTTAAAAAAGTCAATATTTGGTTAGATTTTTAGACTTATTAGTGTTAATATTATCTGGAAATTGATGTGCTGTCTTTTGATCCTAAAATACTTGATTTTTGACCATTATTCTTGCTATACCACACGAAAATAGTATAAATAAAAATAAATAATTGGCAGAGTGGTGAACTATCTAACCTAAAATTATTTTCATCTTTTGTAGACTTTGGCCTCACAGAATCGTAGAGAACAACTTTCAAACATACAACCCAAGCTAAAATTAACTTAATAGCAGTTATTTTAATAACAAATAAGAGAAATAAACCTACAAGAAAAAGTCATAATTGTGTTATTAATTATGAAGTAACTATTAAAAAAATCTAAAGATTGTGATGCCAAAAGTTACTTTAAATCAAATAATGGCTTTCATCCATAGAAACTTTTGGCCTCATAATTACATGACGAATAACTTTCGGACTTATGTGCTAACATACATTAAAATACAAGGTACATGAATAAATCTAAAATCGGAAACCCAAAATTTGGTCAAATCGAGGCAGTAAAATTCATGTGAATCAATATTCGGTGCTATATATTCAGGCACACCCCCAAGTGTAAAGATTCAGATTTTTTCCATAATACGAAACATTTTGTATGGAGTTAAAACAAAATTAGACTGTGGATGGTAGAAGTATCTGTAGACGCATTCATAAAAATATTTTTTATTCAAAGTTAAAGTGATAATTTACATTTTTTAAATACTTGCTACTTAGCCAAATATAAAGGACGACAGGTCCAAAGTTGCTATTAATGAGCCAATTATTTTGATATGTTTGTTTCCATATTAGCGTGGGTATAACGTTGGGTTATGTAGTTCTCCAATCAACCAATTATTTATTTTTATTTATACTATTTTGGTGATACCAGTTTCAGGGTTCATCCCCTTCCTCAGCCACCTCGTCAGTAAACCTATAACACTTTAAAAAAGTCAATATTTGGTTAAATTTTTAGACTTATTAGTGTTAATATTATCAGGAATTTGATCTGCCGTTTTTTGATCCTAAAATACTTGATTTATGACCATTATTCTTGCTATACCACACGAAAATAGTATAAATAAAAATAAATCATTGGCTGAATGTTGAACTATCTAACCTAAAATTATTTTCATCTTTTGTAGACTTTGGCCTCACAGAATCGTAGAGAACAACTTTCAAACTTACAACCCAAGCTAAAATTAACTTAAAAGCAGTTATTTTAATAACAAATAAGAGAAATAAACCTACAAGAAAAAGTCATAATTGTGTTATTAATTATGAAGTAACTATTAAAAAAATCTAAAGATTGTGATGCCAAAAGTTACTTTAAATCAAATAATGGCTTTCATCCATAGAAACTTTTGGCCTCATAATTACATGACGAATAACTTTCGGACTCATGTGCTAACATACATTAAAGTACAAGGTACATGAATAAATCTAAAATCGGAAACCCAAAATTTGGTCAAATCGAGGCAGTAAAATTCATGTGAATCAATATTCGGTGTTATATATTCAGGCACACCCCCAAGTGTAAATATTCAGATTTTTTCCATAATACGAAACATTTTGTATGAAGTTAAAACAAAATTAGACTGTGGATGGTAGAAGTATCTGTAGACGCATTCATAAAAATATTTTTTATTCAAAGTTAAAGTGATAATTTACATTTTTTAAATACTTGCTACTTAGCCAAATATAAAGGACGACAGGTCCAAAGTTGCTATTAATGAGCCAATTATTTTGATATGTTTGTTTCCATATTAGCGTGGGTATAAAATTGGGTTAGTTAGTTCTGCAATCAACTAATTATTTATTTTTATTTATACTATTTTGGTGATACCAGTTTCAGGGTTCATCCCCTTCCTCAGCCACCTCGTCAGTAAACCTATGACACTTTAAAAAAGTCAATATTTGGTTAAATTTTTAGACTTATTAGTGTTAATATTATCAGGAATTTGATCTGCCGTTTTTTGAGCCTAAAATACTTGATTGTTGACCATTATTCTTGCTATACCACACGAAAATAGTATAAATAAAAATAAATCATTGGCAGAGTGGTGAACTATCTAACCTAAAATTATTTTCATCTTTTGTAGACTTTGGCCTCACAGAATCGTAGAGAACAACTTTCAAACATACAACCCAAGCTAAAATTAACTTAATAGCAGTTATTTTAATAACAAATAAGAGAAATAAACCTACAAGAAAAAGTCATAATTGTGTTATTAATTATGAAGTAACTATTAAAAAAATCTAAAGATTGTGATGCCAAAAGTTACTTTAAATCAAATAATGGCTTTCATCCATAGAAACTTTTGGCCTCATAATTACATGACGAATAACTTTCGGACTTATGTGCTAACATACATTAAAATACAAGGTACATGAATAAATCTAAAATCGGAAACCCAAAATTTGGTCAAATCGAGGCAGTAAAATTCATGTGAATCAATATTCGGTGCTATATATTCAGGCACACCCCCAAGTGTAAAGATTCAGATTTTTTCCATAATACGAAACATTTTGTATGGAGTTAAAACAAAATTAGACTGTGGATGGTAGAAGTATCTGTAGACGCATTCATAAAAATATTTTTTATTCAAAGTTAAAGTGATAATTTACATTTTTTAAATACTTGCTACTTAGCCAAATATAAAGGACGACAGGTCCAAAGTTGCTATTAATGAGCCAATTATTTTGATATGTTTGTTTCCATATTAGCGTGGGTATAACGTTGGGTTATGTAGTTCTCCAATCAACCAATTATTTATTTTTATTTATACTATTTTGGTGATACCAGTTTCAGGGTTCATCCCCTTCCTCAGCCACCTCGTCAGTAAACCTATAACACTTTAAAAAAGTCAATATTTGGTTAAATTTTTAGACTTATTAGTGTTAATATTATCAGGAATTTGATCTGCCGTTTTTTGATCCTAAAATACTTGATTTTTGACCGTTATTCTTGCTATACCACACGAAAATAGTATAAATAAAAATAAATCATTGGCTGAATGTTGAACTATCTAACCTAAAATTATTTTCATCTTTTGTAGACTTTGGCCTCACAGAATCGTAGAGAACAACTTTCAAACTTACAACCCAAGCTAAAATTAACTTAATAGCAGTTATTTTAAAAACAAATAAGAGAAATAAACCTACAAGAAAAAGTCATAATTGTGTTATTAATTATGAAGTAACTATTAAAAAAATCTAAAGATTGTGATGCCAAAAGTTACTTTAAATCAAATAATGGCTTTCATCCATAGAAACTTTTGGCCTCATAATTACATGACGAATAACTTTCGGACACATGTGCTAACATACATTAAAGTACAAGGTACATGAATAAATCTAAAATCGGAAACCCAAAATTTGGTCAAATCGAGGCAGTAAAATTCATGTGAATCAATATTCGGTGCTATATATTCAGGTACACCCCCAAGTGTAAATATTCAGATTTTTTCCATAATACGAAACATTTTGTATGAAGTTAGTACAAAATTAGACTGTGAATGGTAGAAGAATCTGTAGACGCATTCATAAAAATATTTTTTTATTCAAAGTTAAAGTGATAATTTAAATTTTTTAAGTACTTGCTACTTAGACAAATATAAAATACGAGAGTTCGAAAGTTGCTATAAATGAGCTAATTATTTTGATATGTGTGTTTCCATATTAGCGCGGGTACAAAGTTGGGTTAGTTAGTTTTGCAATCAACCAATTATTTATTTTTATTTATACTATTTTGGTGATACCAGTTTCAGGGTTCATCCCCTTTCTCAGCCACCTCGTCAGTAAACTTATAACACTTTAAAAAAGTCAATATTTGGTTAAATTTTTAGACTTATTAGTGTTAATATTATCAGGAATTTGATCTGCCGTTTTTTGATCCTAAAATACTTGATTTTTGACCATTATTCTTGCTATACCACACGAAAATAGTATAAATAAAAATAAATAATTGGCTGAGTGTTGAACTATCTGGCCTAAAATTATTTTCATCTTTTGTAGACTTTGGCCTCACAGAATCGTAGAAAACAACTTTCAAACTTACAACCCAGGCTAAAATTAACTTAATAGCAGTTATTTTAATAACAGATAAGAGAAATAAACCTAAAAGAAAAAGTCAAAATTTTGTTATTAATTGTGAAGTAACTATTAAAAAAATCTAAAGAATGTGATGCCAAAAGTTACTTTAAATCAAATAATGGCTTTCATCCATAGAAACTTTTGGCCTCATAATTTCGGACTCATGTGCTAACATATCTTAAAGTACTAGGTACATGATTAAATCTAAAATCGGAAACCCAAGATTTGGTCAAATCGAGGCAGTAAAATTCATGTGAGACAATATTCGGTGCTATATATTCAGGCACACCCCTAAGTGTAAAGATTCAGATTTTTTCCATAAGACGAAACATTTTCTATGAGGTTAAGACAAATATTGGTGGATTGAGAAATAAATCTAAGAAATAAATTCATAATGATGTTGTTAAGTGTAAAATACCTATGAAAAAAGATCTAAAGACTGTGATGCCAAAAGTTACTTTAATTCAAATAATAGTTTTCATCCATAGCAACATTTAGCCTCATAATTGCATGTTAGGTAACTTTCGGACTCGTGCGCTTCGTATATGTGAAAACAGCTAATTAACCCATCATTCCGGGCACAATTTTGTTTTTGGAACGAAGTACTAGATTAATAAATTTAAAATTGGAAACCCGAAATTTCAACACAAGCCAGTGAAATTCATGTAGCAGTAATTCTATACTCTTTGTTAACCCTTTTTATTAGTTATTAGAAAGACATCCGGTTTATTAATTTTATAAATATAATTTATTAACTAAATTTGCGCGTAATCTCGCAACGTCGCAACCTTGCATGGCAACAGCGGATTTCTTGAAGTGCAGCGACATTCTATGGCAGCGAACAATGTGTATCCACATAACCTGTAATAAGTTTTTGTTCGGTGCAGAAACAACCATGGAAAACATTATATGGAGAATATCTCATTTTGCATACGAGTATTTCGCTGAAAAAGAAAATTCTGTGAAATCAACATTTTGGGCTACATAGTCGTTGTTAAAGTCAACTCTGTTAATATAAAACAGCATAGATATAATCTAAGTACACCAAGTTCTCAAGCAAAAAATATAGGTTATGTTTCCCAGAAATCAAATATATTTACAAGAGAAAACTTACGAAAATTTTTAACAGAGGCCCGTGATTAATGTACCTAATGTCAAAGGTAATCTCAAAGAAGGTCAATCACATTGTCTATAAAACATAATGTTTTAGGTATATTTTTTATTCGAAGTTGTAGGAGTATGCGGAATGGAAGAATTTGAACAATTTTCTTGTATCTACATAACCTATAATAAGCTTTTATTATTATTACAGAACAGATTATTAGCTTACATGCCCATTTTAAATGAAAGTATGAAGCATACCTCTTATTTTTCGGCACTTTTAATATTTTTGCTTGCAGAAAGATCTGTAGCAATTGCAAAATAGAGATGGATAGCAATAATAACAAGCAGTTTACATGCATTCGACCGAACTTGCAAAAACTGGCAGATAATATATCAAATTTATTACCTAAAAACTCAGCCACAGTTTATGAAAAGCGGTATGAATTTTTTTTTTACGCAGAAACAACCATGCAAAATATATGGAGAACACCTCATTGCATACGAGTATTTCGCTGAAAAAGCAAATTCTGTGAAATCTTTAACACTTTGGGCTGCATAGTCGTAGTTAAAGTCAACTCTGTTAATAAAAAACAGCATAGATATATCTAAGTACACCAAGTTTTCAAGCAAAAAATATAGGTTACATTGCCAAGAAATCAAATATATTTACAAGAGAAGACTTACCAAAATTTTTAACAGAAGCCCGTGATTAAATGTACCCGATGTTAAAGGTGATCTCAAACAAGGTCAATCACATTGTCTATAAATCATTATGTTTTAGGTTTATTTTTTATTAGAAGTTGTAGGAGCATGTGGAATGGATAAATTGAAAAATAATGACGGCATTCAAGACAAAAACGATACGCTAATAATTAAAATTCCAACGTCTAAAACTGGCAAAGCACGAGAATTTACAAATATGTGTAAAAATATTTATCCAATTGAAATATAGTAAAAATACCTAATTTTAAGACTGCACCATACACCAGACAAATCATTATTTATACATTACATTTGGATAGTGAATGCAGCAGCTGCTGCATTGTACAAATATACCTGCAAACACACTGTAACAAATTATGCAGACACCTCTTTTGACTAAAAGATATATATTTAACTTTATCCATACGTTGTCAACTTTGTTAATAATTGCAATCTCTAACTTCATAATAAATATGAATAATCTACTTTGGTGTTTTATAGTAGTATTAAATGTTCATAGAATATAATTGCACTTACTACGAAGTAAGCTTTCCTAGTTTTAAGTTGTTTTCTTTTCTCTTTGATTATCTTAATTTCTTCAGCCTCTATGTGGCTGTTTTAATTCCAAAAAATTATTTCTGAATAAACTGATTCATACCACTTTTTCTTTCTTTTACTCGAAAACAGTTTAAACTATAACTCCAAATATTTACCTACTTTAAAACGTGTCAAGCATTCGCTTGTTGTAAATGATGCAACCATAAATACAAATTTGAACACTGATATGACAGGTTTGAGGCTAGGATGTGGTTTTCATATTCTCCCATTACTTGTTGCCTAAATCTGGCGCGAGGCCAAAAGTTATTATTGACGTATATATATATATATATAATCAAAAACCTACAATACCCGAAGGTGTTAGATATTTACATCATATTATTCATGGACATGTCCTTCGTACACCACGTTTCTCCACTTTTTCTTATCTTTTGCGAGCATCCTGGCTTCCGCCCACCCTACTCCTTTCTGCTGCAGAGTTTTCCCAATATTTTCATTCCACGTTACGGTCGGTCTTCCTCTTGGTCTTTTGTGCTGAACTCTAGATTCTCATACACTTTTTACTGGAGTCTCTCTGTCCATTCTGATTAGGTGTCCATACCACCGTAGTTGGTTCCTTTCTATTTTATTCACGATCGGTTCTATATCTAATTCTTTCCTCACTTCTACATTTCTGATTCTATCCATTTTTGTTATACCCATTACTCGTCGCAGAAATTTCATTTCCATACTTTGTATTTGGCTTATTATTTTCTTTGTTACGATCCAACTTTCACTTCCAAATATAAGTATTGGTGTAAAAACAGCTCGGTACACGCTCATCTTCACTTTCCTTGATATTTCCCTCTTTCCTATGAATGTATTTTTAATACTGTGGTACAATCTTGCTGCACTTTCGATTCTCGCCTTGATTTCCACCTCCTGATTGCCATTGCTGCTCAGCAGTACTCCTAAATACTTAAAAGTTTCCTCTTGTTTTATAGCTTTTCCATCTATTTGTACGCTAATGTCATGACTAGCTTTTCCCATTACCATGACCCTAGTCTTTTCTACATTTATTTTCAATTTTCTGTCCATTAATGCTCTGTTCCAAATCTCAACGTTCTTCTGTAGATCCTGCTCCGTTTCCGCGAAGATCGCCAGATCATCTGCGAAAGCACATTGCTTGATCCATACAGGTTTTAAACATCTATGCCCTACGTACAGCTTGCTCGTCTTATTACCCGTTTTTTTATGATGTCGTCCATAACTAAGTTAAATAACAAGGGGCTTAGAACCCCTCCTTGTCTTAGTCCTTCTTTCACTACAAACTCTCTTGATTCCATGTTATCGGTCCTCACATAGTTTCTAGTTGTTCTATATAGGCTCATAATTGCTTGTCTCAATTTTGTACTTATATTTCTCTTTACCATACTTTCGTTGATTGCGGACCTTGGCACCCTGTCAAAAGCCTTTTCTATATCGATAAATGCTGCATATATATTTTACTTGTTATTTTCGCCCTTTCCGTAAGTTGTTTAATTGTAAAGATATGGTCCTGGATGCTTCTTCCTTTCCGGAATCCACTCTGCGATTGATCAAGTTGTGGTTCAATTATCCTTCTTATCCGCTGTTCCAAAATTCGCTCATATCTTATTGCGTTGCATTTGATGGTTTAGAAGTTATTCGCTGCTTTAATTGCAACCGTTTCGGTCACTCCTCTCGGTTGTGCAAGGAAAAAATAAGTTGTCCAAAATGCAGCGGAGAGCACAATATTGCAACCTGTACAGCAGAAAATTATAAATGTGTAAATTGCATACGCCAAGGTATTAAAGATAACCAAAATTATTTGGGTGAACAAAACAATACTCAAGCTGATGTTAAGCATGCTGTATGGGATTACAACTGTCCAGTATATAAAGCTGCCTTAGACAAACTTAAATCTGATATATTCTCAGCATAGCAATTGCCAAGAAAACCTCGGGCAAGCGCAGTTGGGGTTCCCTTAAGCAAAATAACTGAACTCTCAATAATGTATACTAACATCGCATCATTATTAGCTAAATTAGACTCATTCATTTTATACATTCAAGACAAAAATCCAGCAGTCGTCTTATTAACTGAAACATGGTTAGATCCCATAATCCCCGACTCTGTAATTGGGCTTAATGATTTCAATCTGTATCGAACCGATCGTACGACTCGTGGGGGAGGAGTAGGTATATTTTTAAATAAAGCTCTTTTCACAGATTTTTCAATAAAAAGTTCTAGCAAAAACTTTGGTAATATAGAGGTGGTTAGCGTTAACTGTACAAGTAGACACATAAACTTATCATTAGTGTGTATATACAGACCCCCTAGTAGCAATATTATAGATGATCAATTGCTTTTTGACGAAATTAAGTCACTCTCCAGTCTTCACTCAAACTTATTAATTTTTGGAGATTTCAATTTTCCCAAAATTTCGTGGCCAAATATTCTGATATCAGATAATGATGGTTCTGAGGGACTATTTAAGGATATGTTGCTTACAACTAACTTAGCGCAACTCGTAACATTCCCTACCCGTTTTCGTATTGGTCACACTCCTTCTTTATTAGACCTGATTTTAACCAGTGATCAAAATCTTCTAAGTAAAATCGAGCAAAATCCGCCAATTGGGGTCTCCGACCATTGCGTTATAGAAGCCTCTATTCAATACTTCATACCCTCAGTTGAAAAATACTGCATTAAAGAATTTTCTAAAATAAATTTCGATAATATGAAGTTTGACTTGGCTAGTAAAAATTGGGACTTTCTTTATGCAACTGGCAGTTGTGGTGATGCTTGGGACATCTTTGCTACCACCATATCTGATGCTATGGCCAAAAATACTGTTAAAACTAAAATCAGATTTAATCGTAAGAAGCCATGGATTACGCAACCATTTATCAGACGTGCCAATGTAAAAAAAAGATTATGGGCTAGATACAAAGCCACCGGCACTCAAGCGGATTATGATCAACATCGGAATTTCTCGAACATACTTAAGCAAGACCTTAAAAAGGCCAAACAGAATTATGAAACAAAATTAGTAACTAGTGGGCCAAAAGCAGTCTTCAAGTATGTCCGAAGTAAATTGTCAACCAAAGTCTCGGTTCCGATTGTAGCAGACAAACATAACAAACTTGCCACAAGTGAAACAGAAACCGCAAACTTGTTGGCAGATTTCTTTGAAAGTGTTTTCACTTCCGAACCCGTCGGTAGCCTACCTTCTTATCAAAGACCCGTGACACAATTACTTTCTGATATTAGCTTTTCTGAGGACGTTGTCTTAGGAGAATTGGAAAAACTGTCTGAAAATTGCTGTCCAGGTCCTGATGGCATTTCGGCGCTTGTACTCAAACGGTGTGCTATAGACTTAGCGGGACCCTTATCCTACATTATGTCCTGTTCATTTAAAACCTCAACTCTCCCTTCTAGTTGGCGTCAGGCACTAATAACCCCAGTATTCAAAAAGGGAGACAAAACTAAACCAGAAAATTATAGACCGATAAGCCTCACTTCTATATGTTGCAAGATTATGGAAAGAATAATAAGAAAACATCTTCATCTGTTTTGTGAACAAATCAATATTATTTCTCCAAATCAACATGGGTTTTTACCTAGAAGGTCAACTGTTACTTGTTTGCTTCACTGTATCAATAATTGGACATTGTCATTAGAGCGAAATATTCCGATCGACGTTATATACCTTGATTTTGAAAAAGCTTTTGATCGCGTTCCTCATCGTCGTTTATTGTACAAACTGGAAATAGCTGGTATTCGGGGTCTTTTGTTACGGTGGATAGAGGCCTTTCTTAAAAATCGATGTTTTTCAGTCAAAGTCGGTTCACTCTATTCTACTAAGCGCACAGTCCTATCGGGCGTACCACAGGGATCCGTACTAGGTCCGATTCTTTTTCTTTTATACATATCAGACCTCTTAGCTTTGATAAAGTCTTCCCATTCTTTTTACGCTGATGATGGCAGGTTGTATGGAAATCCACTAGAGAATTCGCAGGCGATTCAAGATGATCTTCAAACCATACACAAATGGACTTGTGACTGGTTAATGCCGTTAAACAACAGCAAATGTTTTGTCCTCCGGTTGGGGAAAAATAATCCAAATACAAATTATACAATTGAAAACCATTCCTTGAAGACGGTTCGTGAAATAAACGACCTGGGTGTCTTAATTGACAAAGAACTCGTATTTTCTGAACATGTTGCATACGTTGTGAAAAGAGCTAATATTAAAACTTATCTATTCCAGAAAATTTTTACTAATCCAAACGGGGACCTAATGAAAAAACTCTTTGTCTCGTATGTTCGGCCCATTATCGAATATGCCAGTGTGATATGGTCACCATATCTTATTAAGGATAAACAGTTATTAGAAAAAGTTCAAAGACGCTACACCAAAACTGTGGTAAACTTAAAGAACAAGTCGTACGAAAACAGATTAACAGAATTAAAGCTACCATCCTTAGAAAAACGTCGTATAGTAAATGATCTTGTCTGCACCTATAACATACTGTCAAATAAATTCAGTATTAATTTAAATAATATATTTGTTATGGCTAACACATCTCGACTACGTGGACATACATCGAAACTGTTTCATGAGGAATATAAAACAAGGTGGCGTCAAAACTTTTTAACCAACAGGGTGTTCCATTTATGGAATAATTTAGATGAACAAATTGTTAACTCGAGAACTGTTAATTCATTTAAAAAAGGTTTAAATATTCATCTGAATGATGTGTTATAGAATATTGCATTATCTATCATCCACCCGAACACTTCTTAACGAAGAAATAGTAGTAAACTGAAAATAGCTGCTATAATGTGTTCCCTCTGACGAGCATAATAGGTTACCTCTGCTCGGTAAAGATAATAATAATAATAATAATAATATAATTTACACGCCACGCTGAGTAATGTAATACCTCGATAGTTTGTGCCCTGAGTCTTGTCTCCTTTCTTGAAGATTGGTATTATCACTCCAACTTCCCAATCTTTCGGGATTGTGTTTTCATTCATTGCTTTGTTGAATACATCTGTGAGCAATATCAACCCATTTCTGCCCAGATTTTTCAGCATTTCTCCCGTAATCTGGTCATATCCTGCAGCTTTACCTTTTTTCAACATCTTTATTGCCATCTCCGTCTCATTAATCTCTATTTTTGCTTCTTGTCCCCATTCTTTATCGTCTCCCACCACGTCGACGGACCTGTCAGTTTCGTCGCTGCTCAGTAGTTTCTCGAAATACTTTTTCCAAGTTTCCATAATCTCTTCTTCCTTTTTCAGCAAAATACCCTCTGCGTTTCTTATCTGTTTAATTGTTTCTTCTTTCTTGTTTGTTCTTAAACTCTTCAGAATTCTGTAGAAGAGCTTTTGGTTAGTATGATAATCCTGTTCCATTTTATTTCCAAAGTCTACCCAAGACTTTTCTTTTGCCTTCTTTATTACTTCTTTTACTTTGTTCCTTTGTTCTTTATATTTATTATAATTTCCATTTGTTTTCCATTGCAGGTACTCTCTCCACCTCCTCTTCTTGATTTTCACTTCGTTCTTAATTTCTTCGTTCCACCAATGAGTTTGTTTCCTTTTTGGGTTTTCCTTTGTTGTTCCGCATGATCGTACCACACCCTTACACATCGCCTCCTTCAATACTGCCCATGTTTGTTGACAATTCAACCTTTCAGTATCGGTTTCTTATATCATTTCTTCTATTATATTTCTATAGTCTCGTGCTACTTCAGGATTATTCAATTTGTATGTTCTTAATTTTACTTTTGGTGCTTTCTTTGGTGAATTAGGTTTTTCTCCAGCTCTGTCTTTAGTATAACCAATGCTCGTGTTCGCTTGGACTAAAAAGTGATCACTATTAATTTCAGGCCCTCTTTTCACTCTTACATCCTGTATTACGTGTCTAAAGTTTCTATTAATTAAAACATAATCTATGATAGATTTTTCATTTCTACTTTCAAGTACTCTAGTATATTTATGAATTTCCTTATGCTGGAAGAACGTGTTCATTACAAGCAGGTTATTTTGGGTGCAAAATTCGATTATCCTTCTTCCATTTTTATTTCTTATATTTTCTCCGTGTTTTCCTATTACATTTTCGGCATCATTAAGCCTTCGTCCTACTCTACCATTAAGGTCCCCTAGTATAATCGTTCTGTCTTTTGCATTATCCACTATTTCCGTTACTTCTGCCCAGAATTCATCCTTTACTGCAGCTCTATCATCTTCGTTAGGTCCATAAATAATTATTATATTAATCTCTTGCTTCTTATCCGTCTCAATCTCCAACTTAAGAATTCTTTCCGAATAAAACTCCCATTTTTTTACAAATTCCACTATGTTTCTTTCTATTAGGCATCCCACTCCCGCTTGTGCCCGTTCTTCTACTTTAACTCCGCTTAGAATCAGGAGATGCCCATCTCTTTGTTCCATACTTGTACGACCTTTTTTCTTGGTTTCCGTTATTGCCAGAATATTCAAACCCAGTTTTTCAAATTCATCCAAAAGTTCTTCTTCTTTCCCGTTCAAACCTCTAATGTTCCAAGTTCCCATTTTCCAGCCTTTTCTATGTATTTTTCCGTTAGCCAATCTCGTATCCTTTATCCTTGCCGGGTTCGTTACCTTATGCCATTTTGTCCTATTTTGCGCTAGTTTTTTGAGACCTCTTCTAATGTTTCTGTGTGTTTATTCCATCTATAAGTCTTGCCTTCAATAGTTAATTTACTATAACCTAACTTGACTTGCTTCCCCTTATTTCTTTCCTCTTTAGCAATTTCTCTTATTTTCTTATTTACATCTCTTTCTTCCGGTGTCCAATCATCATTTATATATATTCTATCGCCTCCTTCATTCTTCAATTTTTTCTTATTTTGCATAACCTTTAGCTTATCTTCTTTTTTACCCAGTTCGACTAAACAAATTTTAGGGCCTAATTGGTAAGCATTTTTAACTGCAACTTCCCCCTCGACAATTCTTCCTAAAAATTTTTCCATATTTGCTGCTAGTGGCTTGTCAGTTCCTATTTCTCCTTTCCACCCACTAACAACGATATTGTTTTTTCTATTATCTCTGTCGAGCTTTTCTACCCTTTCTTTAACTTTCTCTAGCTCTTGTTTTAATTTGAGATTATCCTCTTTAATTTTCTCATTTTCGACTTTCAACCCTCTCAACTCTAGCTTGTACTCATGATTTTCTTTCCTTATTTCTTTTATATCAGTAGTTATTTGCATCATCATTTCCATTATCTTTTCCAATTTATCACCATCTGTTGGTTTCTCTTTTTTGCCTGGTGTTCTGGCAGTTTTCGCACTCCTACTAAAGATGTTATTCTCTTGATCAGCCATTCTTTTCCTTCCCTTTTCGTCGGTGCTATTCTCGTCGGTATCGGACATTTTATGCGCCGCCACTGACTTACGGTTTCTATCTTATCAGTTCGCTTTTTCGCTATTTCGCTATCACTGCCTACTCCCCGCTCCGCACTGTTCCCCGGGTCGACCCCTCGTAGGTTACAGCTCGGTTTTCCTAACCTAGACAGTGTTTGTTTACGTACCAATTTATCCGAATTTTGTTATGTACATGCACTGCGGTCTTTGTATTATCACTTTTTAATTACACTTTCACACTTGAAAACTCAATATTTCCCACTAAATTGGGTTTAATATTGGAGAATGTTTCTCTCTGCTTCACTTCAGATGCGCACGCTGACCTAGTCCTCGTTCCATAATGCGTCGTCAGGCAATTCTTACTGATGATCTGGGAAAATTAGTAATCGCTGCAGCTTCAACTGGGGTTGTAAATGGCATGTCTTCCAGAACTTGAACGACCGCATGATTTTCTCCAACCCTAGTGATGCGACATATCTTGACGGCGATCAAGTTGCTCGCCTTTTCTCCATTTTTTTTATTAGATAACTAACACTAGTCCACGGTATGCCCAAAAGTGTAGCGACACGCCTCTGCGACATCTTCTCTTGGAAAAGACTGTCCACGAAAAAAATTGGCCATTCAAAGAAAATTATAAAATATTTATTTATGAAACTTTCGACCTAACATTATAACGTAAGGATAATCTTAACATAATCTATAACATATTGTAACCAATTTGATTCAAACAAATCTATAACCAAAAAAAACTTTAACTTTGTTTCCTATACTTGTCATCATATCTTGTGCATACTTTAAATGAACGTTATTTGATGATTTGCTCCATTTTTTTCAAAACCAGTAATTCTCTTAGCTCTATCTCTTGTTTTTCTTAGTTCCGGTTTTACATGGGACCAATATTTTTCAATGGGCCTTAACTTGGGGCCGTTAGGTGGATTACTGCTTGAGACAACAAAAGAGATTCCCTCACTCCACAACTCGCTTTGCTTGGTGTGCTGTGGCTAGATCGGGCTAGAAAAGAGTAGGAACATGATCTTTTAGAAGTGGCAATAACCTTTTTTTCAAGCATTCCTCCAAATAAATTTCTTTTGGCCACATCTCTCACAGAGTCATTGGGATTTCGCATGAAGGACCGTAACACTTTTTTTTCCATGATTTTACATGCAGCACCAGATTTTCTGCCTAAACCTGGTTTGCGATCAATGGTTAAGCGTTGACTGAAGTTATCCAAAACATTTGCCACCGTCGACTTTGAAATTTCCAAGGAATTTGCAATCTGTTCTAAAAGACATTTCTGGGTTCTCATTCGTCTTGCACAGAATTTTTTGACGAAGCAAATAATGTTTCGGATTCATTTTCTAAAACAAAAATAATACACAATAGTGGTTATGATGTTAGAAACTGTCAAAAACAAAATGTCATTTAAGCAAAGCCTACTATGTTTTACATTATTTATTAAAAAATAACGCTTCGTTTTAAGTGGCCAATTTTTTTCGTGGACTAAAAATCCGCCAATATAGCCTATGATATTTTGATCGTAAAGATTGTCTTTAGATACTGTATCATGAACTGGTGGCGGCTTCCACTGATCTTCGATACCCTTTCGGTTTATTTGAAGACCAAGAAACTCTCTAATTGTGACCACAAATGAGTCGTCATCTTGCTCACAATTAGATCCACGAGAATGATAGGAGCAAAAATTCTTCATCATTAGTAACTTATAAAATGGCAGGAATGCTCGACAAGTGGGATTTGTATATCGTACTCCATACTGTCTTCTTAATTGACCAAAAAACTTCTCTAAAGGATCTTGGTTAAAAGCTCTTGCTGGGAAAAAGTTATAGCCAAGCTTCTTTAGAGTTTGCTTGATAATCATAAAACCATTTAAAGTGCTATACCACCCCTGTAAAACTGGGGGCTTTGCTCGATCTCCAGCTTTACTTGGTTCAAATCTCATATTGCTGAACATGCGTTTCCCTTCCAACCAACAAGATGATGGTAATTATTAACTCCTACCAATTTACGTAAGTTCTTACCACCGCAGTCTCCGAATCCTCCATTTACGCTGTCAAAGACGGAATCCATGAAGAGAAAAAAATCGGACGTGTATTGAGCATCAAGTGGTAATGATCCCCCAAATCTCCGGTTGGAACAGAAATTCATGAAAGAAGAAACACCACGGCTAAAGACCTGTGAAGCATAACGAACTTTCATTGTTTGCCTCTTAAGTTCGGCTCCACATGGTCTATGGTAATCTTTGACATCAGTCTTACATTGTCACGTAGCATATGATCCAATCCATATGCCCTTTCAAAAAAACTCCAAGAAGCTCTTCTCTCCACACCTGCTTTCTCTGAATAAAGCAGATCTTTGGTGAGAAGATTGTTCCGCGTACTTTTTAGAAGATGAGGAGGATCAAAGAGAGGATAACTTCGTGATCACCAATTCTTATCACATTTTCTTTAATTCCTGTTCCATTTTCCAAAATAGCACGCCGTTTGGGGTCTTGTAAAATAATATCGAGTGCAGCACTGTTTGTAGTGCCTTGATCACAAACGGAAGCAATGATGTTTAAACCTAACGCCGTTGCCTCTTTCACAATCTCTTTATAAAAGCGGACAATGTTTACGGCAGGCACAGTGTTTTTCCAAAAAGCAAAAGCAACATGTTGTTTCCACCTTCCAAAAATTCCTCTTAGCATAAACAGGCAAACATGATCTACAATTTTGTTCGTCTTTGTTGTACCCTCATCCTCAAAACCTCCGACTCTGTCCTCACAAGGCAAGTAGTCAAGGTGAGGCTGAATGGACATCTCATCGAAGATGAGAGTACACAAATTGTACTTGGGGTCCATTTTACGACTTACCTACTTGTCTTCTGAGAACTTCGAATATGGGTTTGTTGATACCCGGTTCTATTTAGGGTTGCCCTCACAGTGCCAATAGACGGCAACGTAAACATTTTGTACAGAAGTTTTAGGGCCATTTTTCCAAATGGCAATGGCGCCTGCCTTTTCCTCAAACGTAAAACTTCTGCCTTTTGGTTTACGATTTTCGAAAAACCGCTGTTGGACGGGAGTTAGACCTTCTATCAGATCAACAAATCGCCGATCCCGCAGAAGTTTTCTTGCGGAGTGCAAGGCGTTCTTCCTTTTTTGGGCTTGTCTTTGGAGACGGCCCACTTGCTTTTGCAGGCGTTTTGCTTCGCCATAAAGTTTCTGTTCACTAGGCGTGAAGTCGATTAGACGTCGTTTCTTCACACCTATGCGATCCAGAATATTTCCTGTGAATGTATATAAATTAACTTGATTTTTACTATATATATTAAATACAAACGTGAGGTTTGCTGCCTTTGCAAGCAAATATTTGCGGACCGTTCTTCAGGGAGTACATTGCTTCCAACAAAATCTGAAAATAGGGAATCGATGACAATCAATATATTATCAGTTAAGCGATTATCATTGTTTCTGTTCCTATTACTCATCCCTGCGTTGTTGGTTGCGGTTGCCCCCCTGCGGCCACCTAGGTTTTTCCACACAGATCGCATGAATAAAGAATGGAGGGTTGAGCCCCACTTCAGGGTAGATTGCACACAGCTATGCCTAACCGACGATGGAATGTCGAGCGCTTCTTCAGTTGCCCGGTTAGCACGAGGCCATATGCCTCGTGCCCCCAGGATGACGGGTCTAAAAATAAGGTCTTTGCCCGGCCATGTCTTCTTAGCTGCTTCGATAAACTTATCGTTTTCATACATTCCCTTCTTCCGATTATAGATCTCAGTCATCGGTGTCTCAGAGCCGTCCCAGCTGACTTGCACATCAGCGATGACAATACGGGACGAGGTTACGTGAATCGCTAGGTCCGGCTTGTAGAGCTGGCCATCGTCGTGTCTGACTTTGGGCTCCAGCTCTGCACCCCAATTCTTCTTTTTGCAATGGCCCGCAATCTTTCCCACTATCTCATTGTGCCTTTTAACCCGCGCATCGTGCGTTACGGGACAAGCTTGTAATATGTGGCACGTCGTTTCCGTTTTTTCGCATCCGCCCCTACAGTTCCGCTGGTTTGCCGGAACGGAGGGTATGCCTTTTGATGGCAAGTTCGCTGTCCTTAGGTGCACGGCACGGACATAATCTCGCCCAGACCAGCCGGGCGGGATCTTCCTGATCCATGCCCTGCTCGCGTGATCCTCTGCCGCTTCTTCGAGGCCCTTCGTGAAAGGACACGTCTTGATAGCCTCTCTCCACTTTTGGACTGCTGGAATGTCACCTGCCAAGTTCTGTAGCTTCTCCAGCCAAAGTTGTCCGAACTCTGTCTGGAGGATCCTGGTTGTTATCGGATCGAAGTTCTGTGATCCCTAGACCTCCATCTCGCGGTTCTGGTATGCAAATGTAGAATGAACCTCACCGAACTTTTGATCATTCTATCCGCGTCTCGTAGGATCCTTGAGTTCACTCTGTAATTTTGAAGTCCATACAGCAGTTTGGGGGTCAGAAAAGTGTTGATAAGATCCACTTTTTGATGCGGTTTCAGTGGCGATCTACCGACATTATCCAACCACACTTGTAGATTCGTTAGAGAGGGCTTAAGGACACCGGTCGCGTTGTATGCCTGGCCTAGATATCGAAAACTATCTAGGTAGTCCATCGTGGGAATCTTCTTCCTATTAACCGAGAAGATGGATTTAGTTCGAACCACTGGAGCTCCTTTCACGATCCCGACCGATAACGCACGACTCTTCGTAGGATTGATTTCCATCCCTCTCTTGGCTACGAAGCACGACACGGTATCGAGTATGACTGGCATGTCGACGTCCTTGTCGGCCAAGAGGATGAGGTCGTCGGCAAATACGAGACACGCAACTTTTTCCTGGTCCCCAATGGAACCGCCGACGGAACCGTCATTTAACTCGGTCAGGAGTTCGTCCATTACAGCCACGAACAATAATGGACTGAGGGGATCACCCTGTCTAACGCCCCGATTAAAAGAAAGTTTACGGGTTCGACCCATTCCCGGAATATTCATGATAGTGGAAGATTGGAAGGTAGTTTGGATATACTTGATCATGCTGTCCTCGATGTCCAATCTCCAGAGTGCCCTAATTAGAGAAAAATGTGAAACCGTATCGAACGCTTTACTGATGTCCAAGGATACCACGTTATAAGTCTTACGCTTCATATAATATTCCAAGAGCACGGCGTTGGCAAGCGTTCCATCGACGTCTACGAAACCCCTTTGGAGGGTATTTAATGAGAAGGCAGCTTTGAGACGATTGGCGATAATTCTATGGAACAGGCGTTGTATCGCCGACCCTATGGTTATAGGGCGCCAGTTCTTCGGATCGTCACGAGGCCCATCCTTGTGCAAGAGGGTCGTCCTTGCCTCACGCCAGCTAGGTGGGACCAATTTTTGCAGAAGCATGACTGAGAAAAGGATGGCCAGTACCTCATTCGGGACCTTCTTAACGTCCGCTGTGTCGAGACCGTCGGGGCCGGGAGCTGAATTCGGCCAATTATTTTTTACAAACGCGACATCCTTCATAGTGATGGGGTAATAAGTGTTCTTCCTCCTCTCTCTTGTCACGAATTGTTCGCCGTCTTTCGGGGAGGCAGATTCTAATATGCCCCCGTAGACTTTTTCGACCGCTTCGACCTGGGGGTACATCTCTTCTTCAAAGAGGCTCTTCCCCTTAAGAATCTTGTCAGCCAATAATCTTTTGTTTTTAGAGTACAGGTCCTGGGCTTTCTTGTAGGTGGTAGCCCTCCTGTTGCGCCCTGTATATTCTTGGCCGTAGTTCTTGGGGGGCCTATTCTTCTTTGAGGGACCCTTCTTTACTTTTTTTACTGGCTTGATGTTTTCCGCTATCCATCCGCTAATAATAGTGGGGAGCTCATCAACCTCGGTCGTTATTAGTACGAGATGAGCCAAATTACGGGCCTCTTGTGTGATCTTCTCATCCTTTAGAGTATCACGAAAGAATTGTTCGAAGGGGCACCCCTTATCCTTGTTCAATACCGATCTTGAAATATCGGGGTTACTATCACACCGGATGATCGATGCTCTCCGAGGATTTTCAGTCATCCCGGTTAACAAGTCGGCATCCTCCTGCGAGATGGTTACGGGAGTCAAGGGGATCGGATCTGTGAGAATAGTTACAGGGGTCGCGTTTGGTTGACAGGTCGAGTCTGGTGTTTGAGAGGGGTGGTTTGCGATTGGGAGAGTCTTATTAGGGTTTGTCGTAATTAGGGGTGTCTCAAATTGTGTAGTCTCTTTTGGGTGTGTCATAGTTAGGAGTGTCTCAGATCGGGTAGTGTCAGTTTCGATAAGTGCGTCATGGTGTACCAAGACTTCCACTTCCTCGAACCGCACCTCAGGGCCCTGAGAGGGCAGACTTCCCTGCGAGGGCGATTCGAGGACAGCAGACAAGTCGTGTCGGGAGATAGATGACGTAGGTGTCTCTTGGGGATCGTAGGTTTTCCGCAAATGCTCTCTCCGCTTATAACGGAGGTCCCGTGGTGTCGGGGGGCATTTTTTCTTTTCAGCGGGCGGTGGAGGCGAGCAATACGCTCCATCAGGTGATACGGAGTTCGGCGTGGGAGGGGGAACTATGGTGATATGGTCTTGAAGAGGAACGATATGGTCCTGTAGCGGAACGATATGATCCTGTGGTTTTCCCGCGATAGTGGCGACTACGGGTGGGGCAACATGCTTTTCCACCTGCGTGTTAGACGCAACTGCAGGGGCTGGGGAAGGGTCACTACTGATGTTGGATAGTGGCGTAGAGGGGGAATGCAATTGGAGGTGGAAGTTGAGGTACCTACTCGGGTGAAGATTTTCCTGCTATCCTCCTTTACCTCTCTTCTTGCATTTTCGAGGTACTTCTTATAGAGCGCCTTTTCCCTTCTATGCCTGATCTGATGGACGGACAGGCCCGTCATTTGGTCAAGGAAAGGTTTCACAGGGACCGCCCTAGCCTCTATACGGGCTAATATCGAGAATGTCTCCGCATCCGATTGCGGCAGTCGCTTCGCCAGTTCCTTCTGGTAAAGCTCCGTATGTGCTCGTCTCTCGTGCTGACGTACTGATTCGTAACTGGGAAATTCCAGTTTACAGAATTGGCACTTGGTACGCCTCATCCCACAAGTACGCTTGTGAGTGCCTAAATTCAGCGCCGACTTGAATGCCTTGTCGCACTTGTCACATTTATATGGAAGTCCGGTTGATGATGGGGAAGATGGGAAGTGCGGTGCGGGGGATGTGCTTTGTACATATTTCATACGCAACGGTAGGTAGAAACGCAAAGTGTGATGAAATTTTACAATCCATCACATTTTTATAAGTATTTTCGTTGGTAAAATTGTTTATTCACAATTATAGTGTAATACACAGTTTCCCAACCTCCGTATAGGTTGGAATATGATTTATTACTAACCTTGGTCGGGAAATTATTACTGACCTGAAACGTCAAAAGTCATAACTGTCATCGAAAAATGATACCATTTGATTTAACATTTTTCGATTAGCAAATCAGAAAGAATTTCACTTTTGAAAAGGTAGGCAACCAGCTTTACTTAGGTGCATTTACAACAGTTTCTCGTATTAAATTATGTATTTTTTGAAAAGTGAGGTTAGATGGTTAGAATACGAGAATAACAAATAACAAAATTACAGCATTTGAACTTAAACATTATTATTAGAATTAGAATGTCCAGTAAAGTGGAAATTGAAGGTGGCATTATCGTGGCCTGTAATGTTTAAAGAAATCCCCTGTTGCAAGTTTTCTCTTGAAAAATTGAATTTCTGAGTGGATGTTGATGGGCCAGGCAAATCAGGATTGTCAATGCAGTTGGAGTTTTCGGTAGATTTTGTTGATAGCATGTTTGCAATCTTAATCCGACTGTTTAAGGAAGTGTCCACATGGCCCTCGGCTACGGCACTTGACTTCCAACCTCCTAATTTTTTCACACCGAGGATGTCTCCCCCACTGTCCGCTACCAAAGTCGCAGCTGTGCGTCTAAAGCAGTGTCCTGTGTATGTATTCACGTTGTTTAAATTTAGATAAGTGGCAATTTTTTTGGGGAATTGTGCAATTGAATTGTGGCCATATGGTTGTTTTGTAGCTTTGCCCTGCCGCACTTGAAGGAAAAATCGCACATTCTCCACCTTTGATGTAAGTTAAATATATTCTTTTATAATCCGCATCCAATCTTTCTCAATTATGATGAATGATCGTGGTTGGTATGTTTTAGTATGGGGAACAAAAACGATTACTTTTTCTTCTTGTACATCCACATTTTTCTTATTCATTTTAAAGAGTTCCTCGCTTCTACATGCCCCTGTGACACCAATAATCAAAGCAGCCTGGAAAAATGAATAGTTTAATGCAAGAATTTTGGTTGTTACTTACAGTTTATACCTTTTGGGGAAGAAACTCCAATGGGGCGTTTTTTAGGAACTTTTCCATATTTTCTTTTGTGAACACACTTGATTTTTTTGGCTGATAGCCAATATTTTGTTGTTTCAAGAACGCTATTAATTTGGCGTTTTTCGAGATGTCAATATTATCCTTTATGTTCAAGGTTGCCCTCAACATTGAATAATGTGCCTATAGCGTCGAGGGCTTTTTGTCTTTTTTCAACTGGGCAAAATAAGCCAATATGACGTTTTCAGAGCCAATATTTGGAACGCCTTTATCATTACACCAGTCTTGATAAGCCCGGTAGGTTTTTTCGTACCGGTCTTTGCTTTTTACGGGTAACATATTCATCGTAATACTTTCCGCAGCCTCCCTTAGCTCTGGTGGAGTACACTCCATCTCATTTTCCATATCACTGTCCATTTTATCAGAGAAAAACGAAAAGAAAAGTTTTCACAGCGGTTTTGTCTTATTTGACAGATAAAGTCACAGCCAACTAAAGTTTCCATAACCAACGTAGTTTAGATCTTTGATGGGCATAAACGGGGTCATTTTGGTGTTTATTTAAATAGTTGATTGTGAATAAAATAGTATACAAACCTCGTCGTGAAGGTACATTCCTACCTCTCGAGAAATAGTTGACCTCGACTACGTCTCGGTCAACTATCTTTTTCTCTCGAGAGGAATCATTACCTTCCCGACTCGGTATGTAATATACTATTTTAGATTTCCAGAAATGTGGTGGCAAACAATATTACAGTTTCTTACCTATTTTTCGAAAATTTTGTAACCCCGAAGGACCAGCACAAGAGAGCTCATTGATCTCATCTTTTTCTGTAAATGAAGTAATATCATTTTCTCTCTATTTGTTTTATTTTTGTAGCATTATAATACCTGCTCCAAAATTTGGTTGTCGTCCTGGAATGCCACTACTCCACGTACCTCCAGCCCTCGGTGTCTCCAGTTCAGTATCTAGACCTATAAGGTCGAAAATAATTAGTGTTGTATTAAAAACAAACTGTAATATTTACTAACTTTGAGAACTAGGAGATCGTCTCTTAACTGGAGATAAATTGGCGATTGAATAAAAATATGGCCATTCCTTTTTTCGAGAGAGGTAAGTGAGATCAATGGTCTGCGGTTCCACATCGGCCACATCAGTCTGATTTGCCTCGAGTGATCCTAGACTAATTCCAGTATCAGCTGTAGGTAAAAATATCTTAATATTTGTTTCGTAGTGGTCTTCAATTTGTTTTTACCTCGAGAAGGCAAAATGGTTGGTACTGCAGACCGACGCAGCCTTTGTGTTTCTGGTACAAAATCCTCGGGTCGAAAATGTTGGAAGCAAATGTACCCCCTGCGATATATTTGCACATTTGTTAAAACCGCGAATTTTGGTTTATTCGCGGCTTTAACCCACGCCATAAATCTATCATGGCCCCGCTTCGGATGGGGGAATGCAAATATTGGCTTTACTCTCGCCGCACATCCGTTAACGGAGCAAGTTTTGTTTTCTTGCATTTTTCTTCTACAAAAATTGGATATAATAATCTAGTAAAGACAAAGTTATATATGTACTTACATTTGTTAATTACACAATGTAAACAAATAAATTCATAAACTGGGAAAACACTTAACACACTAATCACGAGAAAAACATATGAAATGTGTCAAATGGTAATGTGGTAAACAATGAAATTGCTAGGAGACATAAATGAATTCTCAAAAATTTTGAAAATCGCCCAAATTACAGACGTAAGGCCGGTATTTATAAACGTAACTCCAACTTGAACTGAAGTCTGACTTACCCAAGTTATACTAAGTCTAAGATAGGGATAAGTTTAGTTTGGATTTATAAACCGAACTTCGGCTAAACTCGGTGAAGTTGCGGAAATTGTCTGTTTTGCTCGACAAATGTCATTTTTTGACATCAATTTCGAATTGTTTAATGTTTAAAAAATGGAAAAAACGCCTTATACTTTTAAAGAAAAAGCCATTTTAACCAACATAATAAAGGAAAAAGGATCCGTTATAGAATGTAAGAAAACGGACGCGGTGAGTCTTGAGAAAAAGTCTAAAGTTTGGGAGGAAATATGTGCATATTACAACGCACAGCCTGAGGTAGGCTGTAAATGCACCACGAAACAGCTGAAGAAGTGTTGGGCAAATTTGAAGCAAGCGTAAGATTATTTTCATTCTATTACTGAATAATATATCTGAAAAATTTATTCCTATTATTGTTAGTAAACGAAAAATAGTCACTGAAGAAAAATATGACATTCTAAAAACTGGAGGTGGAACGCGAAGCGCCAAAGAGCATGATACCATTATGGACCTAGTAGAAGAGGCAGCTCCACATCTAGACATTCAGTTGGGATGTCAGTATGATTCTACGGCCAGATACGAGAATCACAATAATTTAGGTAGATAAATTTCCACATTTAATTTTCTTTTTTAAAAAATTTATGTTTACGAACGAGTCATAGCAGACCCAACCACGGATTTGGCAACTGGATCAAGCTTGGGTGACACCCAAGAAACCGTACTGGAGCCTCCAAAAAAGACAGCAAGAACAGTAGTAGATCAAAGCTTGGAAAAAACACTTCGCGTGCAAAAATTACAAGAATCAATCGAGCAGCAACGGGAGTTGCATGAACTCCGTATGCAGGCTGCAAAAGAGGAACTGGAAGCCATTCGCAAAATCGATGAAATTAAATTAGCTGTTGCTAGTCGCCTTAAGTTCAGCAATGGCTGAACTTAAGGCGGCCAAGAAGGCTTTAGATTCGTAATTTTTTATTTTTGTTAATTTGTTAATTTAAAAATGTTGTCGAATAAAATATCTTCTAAATTCTAAACCTAAGAAATGATTTTGTCTTACGACAATATCTTCTTGAGGTTCGGGTGGAATATCTTCATCGAACGGAATATCATCATTTAAAAATATTCCAATATTATGCAACACAGCAGTCGCACATATAATAATTTGTGAGGTTTCTAGCTTGTTTCTTAACGTTCTAGAAAGACAAGGAAATCGTCTTTTCCATCTTCCAAAACATCTTTCTACGACATTTCTTGTCGTTTTATGAGACTGATTATATCGCCTTTCTTGGTTATTTTCTATGTTAAGAAGGGGTGTCAATAAATATGGACGACAAGCATAAGCGCTATCACCCAAAAGCAGACCAAGCACTTGGCGTTGTTCAAATTCAATTCTAGCAGAACTGCGGTTAAAAATAACACTGTCATGTGTCGATCCAGGATGAGGCACAACAATATTTAAAATTTCTAACTTTGGTCCTGCTATAACCTTCAATAGAAATCCCAATAAAAATATAATGTTGGCAATACCACAATGTTGGGTACCTGCACGTTCAAAGAAAATTGACCTTTTCTGTTTCTAAAAACTTCGGCATTATTCCCCCCTGGATTTTTTATTGGTATATCAGTACCATCGACACATCCAGCTACAGAAGGAAATCCTCTAATATTATGAAAAGCCATTATATTTGCTCTTTGACCGTTAGGTGTATTCGGAAAGTGGATAAATTCTTGCAAATGTTCTGCGATCGCTATAGATACTCTTTTAATTGTTAACGAAGTGGTGACTTGACTAATTCCTCGCAAATCACCATCCACCATCTAGCAGACATTATTAAAATATAAAACACAAAAAATTTCAATAAATCTCTACCAACCTGAAAATTTCCAGTAGCATAGAATCGCAAAGTTAGAAGCAGTTGTAAAACGGAAGGTACTGGTAAACCTCTATTATTTATTTTTTCTAACGAATGCCTGATCAATGGCAACAACGTGTTTCGCACAACACGGTTACTGAAATAAAAACGCATTTGAAACTGTTCCTCGTGGTAATACTCAAAAGGATCTTGTCCGTCGCGGATGTAACGTTTAGGTACACGAACAGGGATAGCATTGTCATTGTCGTTGTCTTGATATTCTTCGAAAAAATCATCAAATAGGTTCATGGTGGAACTGGTGGAATATTATAAAAATGATTTTTTCAAATCTATCAAATGTCAGTTGCGACAAACTACAAATTGAGTTGCAAAATGGAATTTCAATTGTGCCTATCTTTGATAAGTCGAACTTGAGCACAGGTCGGACCTGACTTGGGCTTGAGCCTGTCTTGAGTTTGACTTGAGTTCTAAGATCGGTTTATAAATCTCAAACTGTCAACTTGAGTCTGAGTTGCGACTATAAATACCGCCCTAAATCAGCTTTTACAGTTATTAGAGACCCTAAATAGGGGTCACTAACAGATAATCTTTTCATTGTGACCCGTAGCGGGCGGGTCGGAAAATTACGTAACGAAGGAATAAGGTGAAGGCCGGGGATCATTGACGTCGAGACATTGATTTGATTTGTAGGTTAATGGTATCGAAATTCACTTAAATAAATAATTTAACAAGAAAAACAACATTGTGCTACGAAAATTTATTTTATTGTTAAGCGGCCCCTAGACGTAGATTTGTATGTACAGTATAATCCGGCTATAACGACATCGAAGGGACCTTGAAATTTTCGTCGTTATAACCGGAAGTCGTTATAACCGATGAATGCTAATTTTATAAATATTACAACTTTATTTAAACAAAATGTAATATTTAATACACGTACATAGGCGCAAGTAAGAAAGGAAAATACATCCAAGGATCATGTAGTAGTTACAAGTACATACTTCATTAGTCACACATACATACACATATGAACCTACAAATATATACTGAAATGTTACTTAATTTACAGTTTGGGACACGGAATTACAAACGACCTGTCAGTCATAATAACAATAAGGTATAAGACTACAATGTTTTTTAAATGTCAGAAAATTGGTTGTCGTTTGAAATTCCGTGTCCCAAACCGAACGTAAAAAAATCTGTTATTTTACTCTGCCCGGTACATTTATTTTTGTAATAAATACCTGCCAGTTTAGTGTCTAGTGTAGAAATACAGCTCAATAGTTTACTATCTTTTAAACCTTCCAAAGTAACGAATTTTTTTATAATAGAAACCGCTTGAAGGGCTTCCGCACATGATGGCACTTGATCATCAACGTCTTCATCATCATTTTCTTCCAAATCTTCTCTAAGGTCTTCTGACAAGTTTTTTACAATGTCCTCTTCACTTATGTCACCACAAGTTTCTAAATTATGATCGACATTCACTAATTCTAGGAAGTCTTCGTTGGACACTGTAATAGTAGTTACATTATTAATCAATCGAGCCAAAGGAATGTCGTCTTCTTCATCAAAATCACTTTCAACTTGTATTGTCTCTTCGTTTTTTATACTAAATCCAGCATGCCGAAAACAATTGGCAATTGTTTTAGGAGATACATTTTCCCATGCATCAGAAATCATAAGAATGGCGTCCAAGAGCGTTACAGCACTCTCTTTCTCCAGTTCTAAATGCCTAATTGTTTCTAAAATCTGCATTCTGCGGTAATGGGTTTTAAGAGAATTAATAACGTCCTGGTCCATTGGTTGTAAAACAGATGTGCAGTTTGGTTTAATTGCTTTTAAATTTTCCACGTGTGGATGCGCCGGACAACTTATATTAGACACAACTCTAATCATTCAGGCCACTTTATATTGCTGAAAATGTTGAGTCTACTCGAGGCTCGAACACACGTGCATAAAAATGCAAACAATGCAGTTTTAATTTCCCCTTCTTTCTGGTTCGTATCTTGAACAATGTTGTGCAATTGTCGTTATAACCGGAGGAAAAAAAGTATTGTCCAGTAAGTTTTGGTCGCTATTGCCGGATTCGTCGTTACAAGCGAAGTTGTTATATCCGACTTTTTTTACCCTACTGTATATGGGTTTCCAAACAAGCTGGATCAATTCCGTCGTTATATTCGGCTTGTCGCTACAAGCGGAGTCGCTATAAACGACTTTGACTAAACAAACAACTTGTACATACAAAAGTTGCACCTATATGTATCAGCTTTGTTCTAAATATGATTGTCCAATCCAAATTATCCAAACTTCTTGAGAATAATTTGTTTAATGTAGGGACGTAACTTATTGTTGAGGACTAAATGTAAGAAGTTTGAACATATCGTGTACCTAAATGCCACTACTGATCGCTGAAAACAAACGTGTATCAAGTCTTTGTAGAATCATGTTTGCTGGTCTAGTTTTAAAGCAAGTTGTAACGATATTGTGCGTACGCAGATTTCTGTAACACTAGTTGATTTTGATTTGTGTCGACCTTAGACGTTATCTAAATATTTTGAGATGATGAGTATTTTATGAATTGGTCGATATTGTATCAAGGCTGAAGCTAAAAGGATAATTCAAAATAACAAATATTTATGATTTTATAAGCAATGAAGTGAAATCTGAGTTCTTGATCCTCCGAAATGGAAAGCTTGGACTTCCTCATGATACTTGGTGCAATAATTTTATGAAAAATCCATATGGATCACCACATCTTATTCAGTTAACGATTCTATTAGTGCTTTTAATGCGCTGTACTGATGAACAATATTGGCCTCATGATAACAAAATTTTTTCAAATCATTCTCTAAATTTAAAATCAGTTCTAGGACACAGGTGCTCTTAAATAAAAATGAGTTTCACAAAAATGTCAACGTAAACTTTTTTAATATTCTGATTCTGCATGATTTACTGATGATTTTCGTGTTTTTAGTTAAATCGCGACTGATCGGGTAGGGTAGAAAAATGGCGCTAACAACATCAAACTTTTTAGGCCAAAGAAAAGATTCAATTTATTATTATTATTATTATGTTAGGCGATCGGGCAGAGGTCTATGCCTGTTATGCCCGCGCCGTCGCGTTATGGGAAGTACCCAATATTTCTATTGGGAGCTGTAAATGTCATATTTAATTTTAAAAGCCATTGTTGATTGTGAACTGACTATTTCTTCAGGCAAAGAGTTCCATTGCTGAAAAACTCTATTACTCAAGAAGTGCTGCCTTACCGTGGTCTTAAACTTTTCTTTAGCCAATTTAAAAGAATGTCCTCTGGTAAGAGTATGTGAACTAAGTATGAAGAGCTTGTGTATCGGAGACGACTTATTGGACATGGCTTGAAAGGTCGTGATAAGATCACCTCTTACGCGTCTATTTGATAAAGTTGGAATTTTCATTATTGCGAGTCTTTCATGGTATTGAGGCCGTACTCTACCAAACGGTATTCTTGTAGCCCTACGTTGGACAGACTCAAGCAAAAGGATGTCTTTCTGTAAAATAGGCGACCATACACTGTTCGCAAATTCTAGTAAGGGTCTTACAAATGTTTTATATAATTTGGCGAAGATAATAGGGCTACTTTTTTGGAATGCCCGTCTCAGAAGGAACAGTGTCGAATTGGCTTTTTTACTGACATGTGCGGTGTGCTGAGACCAAGACAAGTCACAAGTTACCAAAACACCAAGGTCACGACAACAGTCAGAGGAGACTAATTGTTCACCGTTCATGTAATACGGCATTCTGGGATTCTTGTTACCAATGTAAAGGACGTTACATTTATCGAAGTTAAGTGGGAGTAGCCAGTCACTGGACCATTTTTGAATGCTTATAAGATCTTGTTTAAGAATTTGATTTTGTGAGCTTAAATTATACAATTTGGTATCGTCTGCGTACATGGAAAAAGGTTACATCAAGCTACTCTTAAGATCGGCAGTATAGGCTATAAAGAGTAATGGTCCCAGTACCGAACCTTGGGGAACTCCGCTCATAACCTCAAAAGGACGGCTGTAAGCATCTCCCACTTTAACTCGAAATGTTCTCTCAGAAAGAAAAGAACCAATCCATTTTAGCAGATTTCCTCCTAAGCCAAGATGTTGAAGCTTATGCAACAATCGACGCTTAGGGACGCGATCGAATGCCTTTGAAAAGTCTAAATACACTACGTCAATTGAGTTGCCTGCGTCCATTTCTTTCGTCCAATCCGATAGGCAGCAGAGTAAATTTGATTGGATAGATTTACCGGGAAGAAAGCCGTGCTGCTGGAAGGGTATTAATTGATAATCCACGAAGAATTCAATAACACGGTCGTAAATAATAGACTCCATGACTTTGACAATCAGGGAGGTCAGGCTTATGGGTCGATAATTGGTAGCATCAAATTTGTCTCCCTTTTTAAAGATTGGCCGCACAGTTGCTGTTCTCCAGTCGGCAGGTAGAGAACTAGAATTAAAGGACTGGCTCATCAGAATGCTGAGAGGATACGATAGAACAGATGAACATGTGGTCAGAAGTTTAGCTGTGATTAAATCAGGGCCAGGTGACTTTGACACCTTCAATTTATCTAATTTTTGACGTGACAACGTCTTATAAATCGATGGAGCCGGCTGCACGCACGAAAAAGCATGACTCATGCGGCGTTACCTCGCTCTGAGGCGTCCCATGTAAGGCTTGAAGTGCAAGCGAGAACGCGGAACGAGCGACAAAGAGGCACAATCGGCCTTCGCGTTCGGCAGCGTTCGGCAGCGTTCGGCAGCGTTCGCCATCCGTCTCTCTCCTACTTGAGTGAGCGATGCGTCTGCGTGGACAGCTGCTATATTATAGTACCAAGATAGTACATTGACATGTTTTGGTCGAGTATCAAGTTCAGTGAAAAGTGAATGTAGTGTCAATTTTTTCAAGACACATTAAACTAAAAAAATTGACATAATTGTATTTATGCGTATACATAAATCTAACTTGATCAATTTCATTGTGATTTCTAATTACCTCCTTCTCTATATACATACAAATCTATTAAACAAATGAAATTAAAATTTTCTTTTGAAAAATGCTACCATTCCATCAGTATTTTCTTAAGACGTTGTCACGTTCAACTATCGTCAGTAAACCGGCTTTACAGACAACCGATTTTTTTTACGGACAGCGTCACTGGAAAATAGAACATCATCGATAACAGCTGCATTAGGTACTCCAAGGATGCTAGGCATTATGTCATTGGGCGGTTCTTGTACGAAAATTTTTAAAAAAGATTTGGCAAATGAGTCGGCTACCTCAATATCACTATCAACCACTGTACCCGTGTCATCTTTTATCCGTAAATTAGTTCCAACTGGGCCGGATAATTGAGTTCGAATGTGTTTGTACAACCGCTTAGTGTCTTTACCATCAGCTATAGATTTCTCGTAGGTTATTCTGGCTTCTATAATTATAGTTGACAACCGATTTGAGAAAGACCTATGTTTCTTATAATCAGCCTCAAGACCTGTTCTTTTGAATGCACGCCATAGAGCTCGTTTTTTTTTAATAAATTTTAGGATAGAGTTGTTGATCCAGGGCTTTTTAGAAGAACGTTTAACGAAAGAGGTGGTTGTGTGTTGTTCTATCTGAACATTAATAACATTTTTAAAGGAGTTCCAGTTGTTAGAGACTGAAGGGTCACTCAATAAATTATTCCAGTCGACCTTATTTAAACACCTGCATATAGCTTTATAATCTGTAATTGACCTCTTAAATGTGTCAATCCTCTTTTTAGAGGGTATAGAGCATATCTGCAAATCCACCTTTAATGTCACGTGGTCTGAGATGCCAATAGGAGGGAGATAATCTAGATTGGCTAGTGACGTGTTATCAGAAGATAAAATGAGGTCGAGGGTGGATGGACTTTGACCAGTTCTGTATCTTGTAGGCTTGGTTACAAGCTGCCTTAGGCGGCTGTCATTAAGTAAATTTACCAGAAGTTGAGCAGGATCGCGGAATGACAGACGATTATCTAAAGGCCATTTTAGTTCACTTAGGTTAAAGTCACCAAAGAAGAATGTGTTTACATAAGTGTTGGTAATGTTAAAAATAGAGTCAAACAGAAGCCTACTATCGTGTAACGATGACGTAGAAGGTCTGTAGATACAAGCTAGAACGAAAGTGGAAGACTTATTATAAAATTTTAAGAATATGGATTCAATACTTCCCGTGTCTACATCCAAAGGAATCACCACGAAGTCAGCGAGTATTTGATCCAATATGTAAATACAAACACCACCACCCTTTCTCTCAGCTCGGTCCTTTCTAAATAACGTGTAACCATTTAAAAAGGCCATCCCACTAGGTATCGAGGAAGTTAGCCAAGTTTCACTCAACATGATAATTGAAGGACATTCAGTAGCAACTAGAGCGCAAAACTCGTTATATTTGGCCATTAGTGACGCGATGTTGGAGTATACTAGTGAAGCAGTGAAATATTCTGTATTGTGATTGAATGATAATATCAAAAGAAGACAATGGTGTTCACACTCACACGTAGGCAAGAACCTGAAGAAAGAGTCCTTCAGAATCCCACCAATGGGAGGGCATGAAAAATTAGTTGACAGGATTATGTGAGCTGCCGGCCAAGCCAGATAACTCGGTCGGGACGTCGAGGCGCAAATTTAGGGTTCCTTCAGTGGCCTTCTTAATTTTTCTCTGGATCTTACGACACTTATTCTTAATTCCTTTGTGATCAACAACTCCGTATACGTCGTAAAGTAAATTGATTACGCCTTGAATGTCTTCCGTATGTTTGTGGATCAATGCTAGTACGTCGCTTTCTCCCGAGGCGCTATTCATAAAAGCAACGGTTTGATCAAAATTTAACGGGTAAGCGACACTGTTCTCTATCAGATCTTTGGCGGGTTCCAGTAAGTCTTCTAGTGGCGTTAAACTTTCTGTGGATTCGTTAACTCTCTGCTTTTTTAAGTTAGATTTCCCGTTATTATTTCCCATTATTGTAGACAGATCCAAGGGACTTACCTCCGTTTCAGCCGCGTCGTCTGTTGTTTGACGTTTTCCTGCCACAGTTTCACGGAGTTTGCTAAAAGACGCCTGTGAATTATCATTTAACACTTCATTCGGACAATCGTTTGCAAAATGACCAACCAATTTGCACTTAAAGCAAACATCATCGAACGTGAAAAATACCCGGTAGTTAGTATTTTCGTATTTTAAGACCATCGAGGATGGTAGGTCGACCACGTCATCAGGTTGAACATATATCTGTCGGCGGAAACTTAATACATGGGCATATTCGTCACTCCGCATTCCTGCCCTGAGAAAAGACATTTTTGAGACAGGAGTAAATCCAAAAGTTTTAATTTGGTTTTCAAAAACAGTGTGAGGAATGGATGGGCAAACATTAGAGAGGATAATGCGACGTGCTGGATTTAACAGCCGGCGCACACTGACTGATTGGTCTTTAATAATGATAGTTGGATGATTATCAACCACTTCATCTACCCAGGATTTAGCACTGAGGTAAATACATACACGATCTTTTGACATCTTAGAAGCGAACAAAACATTTTTTGCTGTCACTATATTACCTATAGCAGCAACATAATCAATTAAAGTTAAGCCATCGGTAGCGTTAAGAACTACCGCTTGCTCTTTCGAGGAAAATTCAAAACTAGCCATAATGACCAAATTTATATATCACGGGATTAAACCCGTTTGCCCGTGAAGCGACTGCGGCGAGCCGCAATCACTCGCCTCGACCCTGCTTATAAGAACTTATCAGTGCTTGAGTGTAAGAAAACTTGTTGGTGATAAAAGGAACATGCGAATTAACAAGTATTGCTCCACTAAGGAGAATATATAAGGTTCCACAATTTAAAGGGAGCTGCGTACTAAGGCTGTTAACAGCCTGCCACAACCAAAAACAATTAAATTCAGAAAGATCTCACCAAATATTGCCCCAACCGGGAGCGACAAACGACAAGAAACTTTCACTTAACTCACTTTTTCAATATTGTATGAATATGTATCATCAATTATAAAACATTTTAATGAAAATTGTTAATAACAACAAAAAAAATTACAAAATGATCAAAGACTATTTTATAAATGAGACGACGATAAATCAATTACAGCCTTTAACAAATTAGAACCATAACGTTCGTCATAAACATTATTCAACTTATACCGGATCCATGTTTTTAAAAATTCTCTATGGACCGATTCTCCGGCTTGTTCGGACCATAATCCAAGCCCACAATTGCCAAGATAAGCTATACATTCTTCCAGATGATTTAGGGCTATGTGAATTTTTAAAGTTTCCGAAACTCCAGTAGCCCTAAAAGCTTTTCTAAGACTTACAATGTCTTGGGTAAGTTCAGATTTTACTTGATTTGTTCAAAAACAGTCTTCAACAACTTTATTCATTGCTTTTAGGGCCGAGATGATTGGAACAAGTTCTAATTTTGCACGATCAGTATCAAGGTCCAGAATACGATCGGCTTCTTTTAAAAGTCTGCGGCAAGCATTTCCCTCGAAAATTTCACCTTGATACGATTTGGTTACTAGTCCCAGTCTTTGTGGCCAACTTAACGCCACTTCTCGTTCAACGAGAGGTACCAACCCATTCCAAAACAAATGATTCACAAATCCTTGTAAAATATGGAACTCTGGTATAACGCACTTTTGTAAAACTGTGGTTCCTGCCCCTTCTTCAAAAATTGGATTATTTACTGTGCTAAAACATTCTTTTGAGATTTTTTTATTTTTTTCTAATGAACAAAATTTTTTGTAGTGTCTAGTGGCGTCTTCGTAGGTTCTTAAAAATTGCTTCATGTTGTTAGAACTTTTGTCGTTAGTAGAATTTTGCGATCTCAAATCCTTCATTGACACGTAACAATATGGACAGGGATAAGTAGAACTTGCTGTTTGGAAACCATTAACGAGAAGTGTAACTTTCAGATCTGCTACAAATCTGAAGGAAATTTTGTTGATTTGTATAAGATCAAAAAGCAATTTGAGATTATCGTAGCTTTCTTTTATGTCTGGGACGATACATAGGATCAAGGACTCTCTGTACTCCACTTAACTTCCCCTGCTTCCCTGCTCTTCCACCTTCTGAATATTTACATCGCTTCATTTTTTATTCTTCTTCCATTGATTCTTTGTCACTGCTATTTAGTTTACTACTACGATTTTCAGAGAGTATTGTTAAGCATATTTTCATAAACCCTTGTCCTCCGTCTGCCATAACTTTTATTTGGGCATTTCCAACTATTTCTCGGTGATCAACAGCAGCTTTTACCAATTCCTCAGCGTCAGCCCATACTACAGGCCGATTCTCTTGAGAAGACTTTCCATTTATCTCAAATTTGTAGATGTTTTTTTTGTAAAACGAACTTAGAGCTTTTACTTTAGCACTTGCGTGAAGCCGATAATTAGAAGGAACAGATTTTTTTCCAGCGCAGGACCTGATAAAATTGGTAAGTGTTTCCATTTCCTTTAGTGAAGCTCCCGTGTTGGTTTTGTAGTTGTCCAAGTGGTTTTCAGAAAATAATGGGACTTTAACAATTTTTGAAGGTGGATTGATAAGGACTGTAGCACTCGGTCCGCCTGTAGCCAGTTTAAGTTCTTTTGCTTGATGATGTGTTGAACATTGACCATCGACGCAGGATTTCAATGTTGAAATAATCACCTGTTCTTTTTGGATTGTTGGTAGATTTAAAACAATTTCCGTAACGTTTTCACGAGAATGTTTTTTGGAACACTTGTGCCTAATTCCCTTACCAATTTGATGAAAACATGTTTTGCATATTCGTTTAGTGGAGGTTTCTTTTACAGTTGGAATGTTCCCATTCAAACGTTTTGGTTTTCCCAGAAGAGATTTCTTGTGACTTTTACTTCTAGCTGTCTGGCAGATCAAACAATAACAAGTGGCGTTGACATTTCCTCGGGTATTGGCCAAAATTACCATGTTTTCAAAATTCGGAGTTATAGGTGAACGACGTTTGTTGAAAATACCTTTTTCATAATCTAACACTACCAGACGACAAGTTCCACATATAGAGCTGGGGTATTTGGAATTGTTTTTACCAAATGTAGTCCCGGTATAAGTGCACACCAGTTTATAGAGTTTGTCTGTTAAAGCAAATGCAGACTTTTTCGATTTTCCGAACACAATCTTGGAACCGCACAAGACACACACTTTTGAACGATTTTCTTCGTGATTTGCTTTTTGTGGCATGTTGACAGATCTGTCAATCAAATTTAATTCGTAAAGTAACTAGATAATCAGAAACAAATGATGAAATTTGGCTTTATTAAAATATTTTCAATTTTTTTTTATCTTTCATTTACCAAAAATATGCCCGTATTTGTTAAAACAATTTTTTATATTACCCGATATGCTAGGATTTTAACAAAAACATAAAAATGATCGGTAAATGATACAGAATCAAAATTGGAAAAGCATTTTCGTTGATAATTATTTCAAACTCATTTTTGCTTAAGGACACCTGTGAGGAGTGACAATTCCAAATGTTGTTGTAGATGAACTTGATGTCGATGGCATATTTTCTATGCGCACTCATTTGCTGTTGTTTGTTTAGATTTTTGTTTCGAATAATAAGTTGGCTGTTTCCGTTCTCTCTCGTTTTGTGCCCCAGGAAACTGAGAACAGGGAACTGAGAATTTTGTCTTTATCATGTAAAAAAAGCTTTTAATAATTTCGTATGTAGTACAACATTTGCACAAGAGTTTTGCACCAAGTGTTTAATTGATTTATGAAAAACATAAAGTTTCCAAAACTGACAAACGTTAAATAAATACTTCCCAAGAAACTGATAATTTGACTGAAACCACACGCGTTCACTGACGAAAAACACTTTATTTAATGACGGACATTGAAAGTTTATCGTCAAATTGCTAACACGCGCCAAATAGACATCAAATTGGTCAAACTGTCTAATTGGTATCTTCGCAAAAGTAACGTGATATTGTAATAAAAATTAAATATTGCCGACCAGGGAACTGAGAAATAAAACCGATGGACCCTGTTTCACGTTGGTTAAAAACAAAAAAAATAATAAATATCAATTCAAATATGCTAATATCAATTATTTTCACTAATATTAATTAAGTATGTGCCACAATACTTGAATTAGCAGCAATGCTTATTTTATAACACACCACATGTCAATTTACAGGGTGAGGACAGACCCAGGGAACTGAGAATTTTATGTTTTAAAAATGTTTCTATAAACTTAAAAACATATTTTATGAACTATTTGTCATTTGCCGGTGTCAATTCATGTGTGATCTTTTGTTGTAAACAAACTTCAAGACAATATTTATGTTACATAAGGACAATCATTGGTGGTCATTTGAAAATTCCCATTTTTGTAGAATCAGTCATATAATAAAAAATATTGTG